TGGAAGCCAGAAGTACAACTCAGCTCAAAACACAGTTAGGTAAGTTCATGGGAAAGAGGTTCATCAGTGGCTATTAGGCAAACTTAAAAAACAACGAATAGTCTAATAGCACCTTAAAGACCAACAAAACATGTAGATGGTATCATGAGGTTTTGTGGGCAAACCCCACTTCTTCAGATGACTGGAGTATTAGAAGTCCAGATCCAAGAATAAATAAGGGAAGGCATGGGGGAGGAAAAAAGGAGAGAAAAGGAAGGGGAAGAGCGAGACAATGGGTAGATGGTTCAAGTAGTTACAAGAGGCTGATCAGAACAATTAGCACCTCCATTGGTTGGTTATTTAAGTCATTAGGATATGTAAGGTAGTGTTTGAGCCAGCTGATGTCACTGTTTCTCCTCTCTCTCTCTCTCTCTGGCCCAGTGAATATTTAATTATTTATACAAAGCGGAACAACTCTAATTAAAAAAGTTGAGAGAGCCCAGCCCAAAACATGCAGTGGTTTATGACACTCACTTGAAATGTGGAACACCCGGATTCAAGTCTCTGATCTAAATCAGGCAGAGGGGGGAGGTGAACAAAGGTATTCCACATCTGAAGTGAGTGTCCTTATTACTGGTTTGTTTTTATGCAACTCTTATTTTTTCCCAGAGGAAAGTTGCAACCTGGCTTAGATGCTTAACTCCAAGAGAGGATTTATGGTGGATAGGCACCTAAAAATTTTTGGAGATATGGACCTAACTGCTGCCCCCTTTCATCTGCATTTCTTTGCTGTATAGCTTAAGTGGCTTTCCCATCAATTGGCTGTCTTCTTTCTTCAATGCCTCATGTTGTATGGGGAGCCTGGGCAGGGCCGGCCCACAACATTTTGGTACCTGATGTGGGGAGCTCAAATGACACCACCATGCCACCTTTTCTCCTGCCTGCCTGTTATGTCTCTTGTGCTCTCCTTCCTCCAGCACAGCACGCCACCATCTCTGTGCATCTAGAGCAGAGAGAATACATATGCACCAGCAGCAGACACAATTTTCGACACTCTGGATCCAGTTGTGTCCTCCTCCCCCCCCCCACACCCCCTGCCACAGTCTGGCACCTGAGACAGCTGCCTCAGTTCGCCTCATGATAAGGCTAGCCCTGACTGAGTGCCTAATTCAGGGTTGTGAATTTTATTTGGACTCTGGCATGCAATACCTAAGTCATTTTGTGGCTCTAGCCCATTGATTCTTAGTGAGACTTTGGGTGCATCTACACTGCACTGTAGGTTGAAATAAGTTACGCAATGTGAGCTATGCAAATAGTGTTTCTTATTTTGATGTTCTTTTGAAATAACTTATTTCAAAATTTGGTATTGTCTACACAGGACTTATTTTGAAATAAACTGCTATTCCAAAACATCCCTTACTCTTTGTGCAATGAAGTTTACAGAGACATCAGAATCGCGAGCCCATTATATTTCAAAATAATGGTGTGTTTAAAAGACGCGGAATAGCTATTTTGAAATACCTCAGTATCCTGAAGTAGCACTGCAGTGTAAACGTAGCCTTAGGTTCCATAGTGCTTATGTCACTTTTGAAAATGGAACTTAAGAGACTAAATCACATGAGTGCTTATCAAAATGGTGCTTCAGGTACCACAGCTGGTATACCACAGCTGGTATAAATCCATCTTTTCAGCTCTGCTTGAACAGAATGTTGTGGTTGAAATTATCTGTGATTGAGTATGTTAATAGGTTTTAAGTAGATGGTTTTAACCAAAAAAAGAGCAAAACAAAACACTTGTCATAATTAGACAAGATTTTGTACCCAGTCAGAGAAAAAACTTTTTTTTTTTTTTAAAGTATTGCAGTTTCTGGCCAATCTGCAAGAATAATGGTGGAGAACTTTGCCTGTACCGCTAAACCTTCATTAATTGTGGAGTCTCAAAAGATTCATTTCTTTCCAGTCCTATTTCATTTCTTCATGTAGCCACTGGGACATATGGTGAGATGACATGGACTCAAGATCAACAATATGCAGAACTCACTCGGCTCTACCTATTCTTCAATACATATAACTATACCACTCTTGCAAAGGTGGAGCAGTGTTTGGAGGGGACCAGCCTGTGGATAATGAGCAGGTGGTTTAAGCTGAACCTGAAGAAGGCAGATATTATGCTGGTGGACACAGGAAAACACTCTGAGGAGCATGAAACCACTGTGTGCACACATCTATATTTAATCATTTCAGACTGTAGTTTGGGAGCTTTATGGATATCTTACTGATGCTGAGCTTGCACATAGTAGTATCCAGGAGTGTCATTTTTTAACATGTCCAGTTGGCCAAGAGACACTGTTGGACTCTGATGGAAGATGACTTGGTCTACATATGACTTGATAAATTCTCATCTGCACTGCAGCAATGCAGTATAACTGGACAGGAAGTCATTGGCCTTTAGGTAACTTCAACCAGCTTCCTCATGTGCTACTCTGACCTCAAACCTGACTTATATTGACTTCTCATAGAATATCAAATAAAGTTCAAGGTCTTGATCTTTACCTTTGAGGCACTCTATGACATGGGTCCAGCATGTCTAAAAGATAGCCTGTAGGTCCATTCTGAGTACTATAATACCACTGCACTACTTCAGCACAATGGCACTTTCTACCACAATGGTAAATCACATCAGTGCAGGAAACAGACTTTGACTCTTTTACTGGTATAGGAGATGTTGTTAACAGACATATAGGAGTCATGGCCCAGGCTTTTCTACATTCTGACTAGTCTCAATTCCAGTTTCTATGATTGCTCACAGACTGAGGGTGAAGATGAATCTTTAAACTCCATGCATTGACTGACTGCTTCAGATTGCTTCAGTTCTGGAACCCTCAGTTACTTGTTTACAGACTAATCTCCTCAAATTTGACTGTAAATTAAATTTGGATTGTATCAATTGAGAGTATATACATTGATATTCTTATAAATAAAAACCTCCATGACTCCAATACATGAGTTAAGGACATAAAATGGTTTGGATATATCCTGAAGTGTGGAAAATTTAGACATGTACTTTGTGTGAGGGAGAAACAAGTATGTTCACGGCTGGAATGTACTTGAAAATTAAGCATAACTGTCTCTTTTGCTGCATTTCCACAGCAGTAACAAAATCCTGCAGCAGAGAGAAAATTGTTTAATGGGGCTTCCTGATGTTTACATTGCCCCACTGATACAGTTAAAGCCTGCTCTGAAATTTAAAATACTGGGGTTAATGTTTTTTATCTTGTGTCTCTTTGGCTGCTGGGAATTTTGTTAGTGATTGTAATAGAGCTGATGTTTTATTTGGCATTATGTATTTTTGTACAGGTGTATACTAAAAGCAAGTAAATGTTATTTTTTCCTCTTTGCTGAAGGGTAGCAGATATGGATGATTTGCAGAGGGTCAGTTTTCCATTGATAACACAGATTCTGGGGGCCTTCTAGCATAATGTATTTATATTCAAAAAGTGCAAGTTCTGTTTAGACTGAATAAAGGTGGCCCAACCTTTACACTGAAAATTCTGTTGACAGCCATGCTAGGTAAGTCTCCTTACTGAAACAGCTTCTCTCTTAACCTTTCTCTCTGGGTATGTCTATACTTGCAGCCTAATTTGAACTAGGGCTGTAAATGTAGGCATTCGGAATTGCATATCAAGCCCAGGATTTAAATATCCCGTGCTTGATTTGCATCTTCCTGGCTGGGTGCCATTTTTGAAATTTACAAGCCCGAAATAACTGCCCACGTCTACACGCAGCAGTGAAACAGGCATTCGAAATAAAGCCCTAGTTCAAACTATCTGCTATTCCTCCTGCAATGAGGCTGCAAGTGTAGACATACCCTCTGTCTCTTTGCTATGATACAATCTCCATTTCTTACCTGCCTCTCTCAAACTCCACACTCTAGAGTTACCAGCAAGTAATGCATTAAGTCTCTTTTTGTGTAGCTGCTTCACAGGTTGGTAAAGCACTCTTTTGTGTTTTGGGGGATCTGCAGAAGAGTCAACATGTGGACATTAAATATAGTCAGACTTGGTGGTGGTTCTCAAAACTGTTTTATTTGTGCAGTTTCCCAAACATAGTCATACTTGGTGGTAGACCTCAAAACTGTTTTATTTGTACAGTTTCCCAAATGAAAGATCATGTAAGATTGCTGTAGGGCTAAGCCTCTCCAAGGTCAGTTTTATATCAAGAACGTACATCAGTAATTAAGCAGCATGCATTTCATTACTGCTATTGCCATTACAATACTATAAAAAGAAATGAAGCATCCTTTGGGGTTAGAAGGGCATGTAATAACAGCCATCATCTTATTCTCTTTCTACTCCTATCCTCCTTCCAGTACAATTATTCTTCTTCAACACACCTATGGTAAGCTGCTGTGACTGTCAAGTTGTTAAGGATAGGAAAAAAGAACAAGAGATATAGCTTCTGCCTGCTAATACCATGACATGAAGGAAAAGCACAGATCCCTGTTATCTGGAGTGTATCACACCCCGTTTTTGCTGGGAATTGACAAATAGCTTTGGGCTTGGAGTAGTATTATTTTCTTTAAATGTTTGTATTTGACCAAACAGATTGATAAAAGGACTTAGAGAAAAAAAGAAAATGATTTCCTGTGTACACATCCTTGGAATCTCAAAGAGGGACTATGGGCTCTGTTTACTCATACTAAATTTTAAATTTTTGCAAGTATTTCATTTTTTTATTACTCTTACTCTTACTCTTGCTATTGCTATTACTATTATTAATTTATTCATTAATTCTGAACACTTGGGAGTCCCATCCATGGATCAGAATCTGCCTGTGCTAGGTATTTTGCAAACACAGAACAAAGAACTTTCAGGTTAAATATAGTAACGTTGATTTACCAGTTCATTCCTAGATACAATTAGGAAGTAACAAGATACAATATACATTCAAACTGATATATTTGCCAAACCATTTGACCTTTCATTCAATTATGAGTACAGATGTTTGAAAAATAAAACTTACCTAATGTGCACTCTATACTTTTGTCCATCATCCACTCTAATAGTAGTATTGATGCTTCTAATTTCTGCTGCCCCATCACATACAAATTGGTACTACAAAGGAAAACATCCTACATAATTTATCATATTTGGATACTTATGCTATTTATTATATTATATTATATTATATTATATTATATTATATTATATTATATTATATTATATTATATTATATTATATTATATTATATTATATTATATTATATTATATTATATTATATTATATTATATTATATTATATTATATTATATTATATTAGCATATTTGGAAACTTGAAACTGAAAGTACTAAATCTGCAAATAAACCCCCTCAGAAATATGACTATGTGTATTATATTATATTATATTATATTATATTATATTATATTATATTATATTATATTATATTATATTAGCATATTTGGAAACTTGAAACTGAAAGTACTAAATCTGCAAATAAACCCCCTCAGAAATATGACTATGTGTATCCAGAAAAATGCACATAATGTTTACAGGTCCAGATCAAGAAAACTCACTGATGCATTAAAAACAATTACATACTTTTTCCAAGTCGATGTACAAAAAATCTTTGTATATTTCCTTTTCACACATACTTTTGGGTCCAAATTTTCAGAGGATTTCAGCTACAATTCCACCTCAAGTGAATACTGGCTGCAGATGACCTTTACCTGCAAGCCTGTATTCCTTTCTTACTTTCAGATATGCATAGTTACACGTGAGCTGGAATATTTAGGGGTACCAAGCTGTTTCCTAAAAGTAATATGAAACTAGCACTAGATTTCATGGTTTGTATACTTGTAATCAATGCTATATTGCATGAATGGAATCATTGTCATTGGGGTTTTATATCTACATTTAATTGAGCAATTTTATCAATGACTAAAAGTGAATTGAATTAGTTTAAACATGACACTGGTACATTTGGTAGCCACTGTGAAAGTTATTCATATCAAAGCTTTTGAATACATTTTTGTCAATTAAGTTTCTGAAAGTATTTGTCTAAAAACAGACAAATATCTATTTTTTTCTGCATCAGTATTTTAGAGTAAAAACAACTAACATTATCTTAATGTTATCAAAGGTTGCTAAGTCTTGTGCAGATTCTTACCCCATGCCTACCTATTCATAATAGATAAGGAGTCAGCCATGAAAACATCACTACTGTCCACCTCTCAATATAAAACTGTTGTGTTAAATATATTCTCTTAGGGTGTGTCTAGACTACAGGGTTTTGTCGACAAAAGTGAACTTTTGTCGACAAAACTATACCTGCGTCCACACTACTGCTGAGTTCTGTCCACATAACGTCAACAGAACTTAGCAGTTTTGTCGACACTGGTAAACCTCATTTTACGAGGCATAACGCCTTCTGTCGACAGAATTTCTGTCGACAGAAGGTGTTATTGCATGTAAACTGTCCTTTGCGTCTACACTACCATGTCGACAAAGCAGCTTGCTTTGTCGACAGAACTCAATGTAGTCTAGACTCTCTTTGTTGACAGAAGCCTGTAGTCTAGACTTACCCTTAGATGTGTGTACTTAATTCAAACTACCCTCCATATTGAAGGTCAGCTTTGGTTTTACATCTATTCCTACTATTCAACGTTCCCTTCAGAGCAGTGCAATTTGGGTAACTTATGCATAGCAATTCATTATAGCAACAAGGCATATGCAACTCGTGAAAGGGCACTTGATTTTTAACTATTCTTCTAGAATATCTTATAACTGTGCCAATCAGACTCTTTTCTTAAACAAATTTGACAAAACATTACTGAATACTTTGACAAGAATAAATTGTACTACAGTAGAAATTCACTCTTTAAAATTTATAAATAAATGTGATCGTATTTATTTTGTCCTGACATATGAAACATTAACTATCTTGACGTGATCCAGTGGAATTCTGTATCAGTATCTCCCATTTGTTCAGAACCGCGAGTAAATAAATTGTTTTCTCTATTTGAAAGTTCTTTTCTACAATTAATAAAACAACTTCATTGATTAATTTTCCAGGCAATAACTTCAGTGAGTTATTTTCCAGGCAATAACTTCAGGCAAAGTGCACAATGTGGCCCTGCATACAAAAGGTAAGCATAGTACTTTAATTTCGATAGGACCTGGGGGATACATCTGTATGTTCTCCTTATTTGTATACATAAAACTTCTATGTTTTTTAAGGAAACAACTTGAACTCCACCAGCTCTGGAGTAGGTTCAAATTATTTTGCCTATTTTACCTATAAGGCTGTGTCCAGACTCAGGGTTTTTTTCGAAAAAAGTAGCCTTTTTTCGAAAAAACTTCCCCTGCGTCTAGACTGCAGCCGCGTTCTTTCGAAATTAAATCGAAAGAACGCGGCTTTTCTTTCGACGGCGGTAAACCTCATTTCACGAGGAAGAATGCCTTCTTTTGAAAGTGCTTCTTTCGAAAGAAGGCGTTCTTGAATGTAAATAGGGCTTCTTCGAAAGAGAGCATCCAGACTCACTGGGGCTATTTCTAGACTGCAAGCCTCTTTCGAAAGAGGCTCTTTCGAAAGATACTTTCGA